ATTCACAAAATGTGTCATCTGTAATTGGCAAATAAAGCGGATAAATTATGTCAAACCGGATGATTATGTCACCACGTTGTGACGGATTATTCATATCAGGCATGCCTTCATTGTGGATTAATTTAACGTAATCTTGCCTGAACATTTAAAAAAAATAAAAATAAAAATAATCAATCTTGAAGCAGCTGTACATTAAGTGCTGTTGGACAAATATTATAGAACAGTTTAATTTCTTACGTGATAACTTCCGTGATATTTACTCTCAACACTTTACGGTCTAATGTGTTAATAACAACTCTTGTACCAAGTAGCACTTGTTTTAACAACACCTTTTGAACCATAATTAAATTCATATTATCTCGTTTGAAAACTTTATGCGGTAAATCCTCCGTGGTRAATAGGTATACAGCTATTTAACACATTATTTAAAATTAATTTATCATCCATTCACTTCCCTTTTACAGAAATTTAATGTAGGCATAATACTTTTAACATTGTTATGACCTGTGTCTGGCTTCGACACCTCAAACCTTAATGTTCCTCCTGTGGGAAACCCACGCGGTATTTTTATATTCAGAACTGGCATTTCCTTTAATATTGAATCGCAAATATTAGGTCTTCTTTTAAGCTTAACTGATTTTATCGATCCATTAAAAATCTAGAAGTTATATTTTACAATAAATAATTTTATACACATTTGATYATGTTTTTTTCCAGGCAAAATTACTTCGCTCAATGTTAACTGAAGACGCAACTTCACAATATCAGGTCCACCTTTATTTTTTTTGAAATTCATAATCACCGAACCATTTGATTTAATGAACAAATTCGTTATTGGATTATTAAGCGCACAATACTTTCTACAATGGGTACATGTTGTTAAAATAATGTGAAATATATTTCATATAAAATGWCAAACAAAATATATTGTAGTTACAAATTATCTCTTAAAGTTAAYTTACCCCCTCTCTACCTGAATTAGCTGTACACTTCCTATTTTTTTTTATAAAAAAAAAACCAAGAAAATACGTTTCAAAATGTATATAGGAATTTATCATTTGTTCAATCAATATTGATAATTATTATATATTTTTTAATTTACATAGATTACAGATGTGCTGGATAGCAGTATTATTATTTCTAGAGTTTATGAACATATTGTAGTAATATTATAAAATATAGTTGTAAAATTTCAATATTTTTAGCTTATGGATAATTGGTGTATGAGGTGTAACATAGCTTCTTTTATAAAACAAAGTTTGAACTAATGAAATCAATTTTGAAACTTCTATTTAGCATTTTWATTTATTAKGTATTTTAGCCTATATTTAATTTTAACTTCCATTTTCCATYAAATAAAACTTTTTACAAACAATTGATGTATTATTTAATTTTTTTGATTTTCATTATATAAATATTTTAAACTTGACAGATTTTAGATTATGATACAATGCAATATCATGCATTGATTTTACAATGATGTGTTTTTATATTTTTTATGTGTACACTTTTTAAAATTTAAAAATTGCTTGGCAAAAAGATGAATATTTTATTGACATTGGTTTTAAGCATTTTTGAATCTCGTCAGTATTTTGTGTTTACATCAAAAATATGTCCAGAATTAAGAAATAGAAAATCATATGTTTTATCATTGTAAATGWATTTGTACCTTATATAATAACTGATCAAAACAGAAAACTATGGAAAAATAGATTAATTTTACCCAGGAAAATTTATATAACACAACTAGAATGATATAAATTGTAGTTTATGCTTAATATTATTATGAAAATAAAATTATAATAATACAATAACAATTATTTTTAATAATTACAATTATATATGATAAAATGCAATATTTTTGGCAAAAATTATTTCAATCATTATTGTAAAATATTATATTAAATAGTATAAGTTAACTGTCAACCAGCTATCTTTGTTCAAAATTGATTTTCAAATTTAACATTTAGATAAAAAATTTAAATTAATTTAAAACATTCACTTAAAAGTTTAATCACAGGGTGGTTATTTTTTTCCAAGCTTATTCATGTATTTAGTTTTTGTATTTTAGGTAATATTCTTAGTGTAACAACAAGGTAGAGATTGTGTGTATATAACAATAAAAGGAAAAAAACATATACATTTCAGCGACTTGCTCAACAATACTGCACAGCAGAGTGGCAACCAACTTTTTCCAATTTTAATATTATGATTTTTAATTAAATTTACAGTAATTTTAGATTCTAAGCGGAGCAATTTTTTTTGTTGAGATTGTATGGTTTTTAAATGCATTAAATTTAAAGCCCTAATTACTAATAACCATTTGTATAAATAATATTCATACCAAATGCTTATGCTTGTTATATGGAAAATATTAATAGCATTTACAGGGTATTCTATGTAAAACTGGCTACTGAACTTAGAATATTTCATTAGTATTGTTATAATTATTAAACTCTAAAACTATTTGATTTATAAATACTAATCGTTTAATAAATTACAAGTTAAGTTAAGAATATGTATAGATTTTACAATACAATTCAAAGAATGGGTGTTGGGGGTATTGACAGGGTTTGTTAAAAAATGTATAACCCCTTCCCCAAATATAAAATTTTAATTTCCATCTACAAATAACAGAATAAATTACTTACGAATATGTGCTTTTCACATCACGATGGTAGGTCCATGGACCAATGTACAATTCATTGGTACTTACACCTTTTTTAACACCCTCTCCACCATATTCATCATATATCGCTCGGCGAAATGGATCAGATAATACCTCATATGCTTCACACAACATAACCAAACAACAATTTTGAATTTGACTATTTACTAGTTTACCAAATCTAAAAATCATATTAGGTATGTAAATATTATTAATAAAATTAGGTAAACTACATACGCTTTATGAATGTCATCTTTAGTACAATGTCTTTTTAAATTTAATATTGAATAGTAATTGATATCCATGTTTTAAAATAAGTTAGATAACTAAGAATTCAAAAAAAATAACACAAATGGTTTATGAAATAACTGAATAATAAACAAGAGTTACTATAGACATTTATTATTTTATAATTTAACAGCTGTATAAACTGCATGTAAAAATAATCTACAAGGCATACATATTTTTACAATTCAAAAGTTAATGTTACATATTAACAAAATAAAATTTGAAAATTTATCTGATTAACTAATTTTAATTTTGTAAATTTTTAGAAATTAGCGAACAGGAACCCATTCCTTGAATAATTCACCAACTTTCTTGCGTTCTGGAACAAAACAATTTTCAATTAGATATCTCAATATCTGATACTTTTTTTTTAATCTACCACAAAAATGATAAAAGGAGAATGCATTTTTGAGTAATTTATGAAATGATATATTAATAAATGAAATGTTAGTAAAAGTTATAATGAAATAATTTTGATATATAAAAGAATAAATTTGATTCATAGGACTTATAGTAATTACTGTGAGTAATGTCAGTTATGAATTATTATTTAAAATTATGATTAAAGCATGCATTATAATGTCCTGAAAAACATTAAAAGCCTTAAAAATATATAATGGTGTATATATATTATATAACTTGACTTAATGTACCTATGTCAAACAATATTAAAAAACTTTAAAAATTAATTATTAACATGGTATTAAATACAGATGATTTYACAACATTCGGCATTTTAGTGATTTGTGCTTGTTTTAAATAAAACCTACCTATAAACACTTATATCATTTACCTGAACTTAATATGCAAGTAAGACAATATTTTGTGGAGGGGTGTAGTTCTCACATCCTCTTCTTAATAGTTTTTAAGGACATTTCCTCTACACCTATGGGAACTTAAAGAGTAATTTTCAGGGGGGAAAGGACAAAATGCAACTATTATTCTATAAGAACATAAAATGATTAGTTCACTTTATAAGTGTACAAAAATCTATGGGATTAAGTATGAAATAAGTAATGGATTCAAAACATCTTTAATTATTTTTTTTTGCATACTTTATTGTTGTATAGGGGTAGATGTCCCCTCCTCATGGGTGCCATTTTCAAACTCTTATACTAATTTGGTATAGTTGTAAATAGCTAGTCATAAACATAAATTTACATGATTCACCAAAAAAAAWTTTCGAAGTAAAAGTTTATCTTTAAGTTGTTTAGAACAGTGTATCAACAAATTGTGTGCTTAAACAGCAATGTTTGAGACATTTAGAAAATTATACAATCTGCATTGAATTTTTTATTATGTAATAATGTTAAAAAAAATTAAACTTTATTTTGTTCAATAAGTATTAGTTTAACATTTCAAAAAATCTGGGGAAATTTTTTTATTTAATTAGAGGTTATTGACTGAATACTATTAAATATATAACATTTTGTAAATTATTTTATCAACCTGGAGCTTGGAAATCTTCAGGGTGTAATTGAATGTAGTGTCTGTACATGGCATCTTTGTCTGCAAGATATGAAGTTCTATATTGTTTGTAATAATAGAGGGCAGTAGCACCAACGATTCCAGCACCCAGCTTTATATGTATTCCTAAACAAAAATTATTTACTCAATATAAGTACATATTAAGTTTGCGATTAAATTGATATAACAACAATGCTCACCAGAGTAAAACGGTCTTCTATTCATCGTATAGGTGTACCAGACTGAACCCGCACCCAATATGAATCCCATAAAAGGAAACCATTTGTCTTCCAACCATGTTGTGTGGTATTTTTGGAAATCAGGCCCTGGTGTCAACAAATTCAATGGCGTTGGATCAACAGAAGCTGCCACTTCATAGTCAACAATGGGCTTCATTTTWAGTTTTTCGAAAAATTAAAGTAAATATTTAGCAAATAAAAGTGTAATTTATATTTGAGTATTTGACCCCTTATCAATGTTATCAGCAATTTTACTGTGGCCGAACGACCGATTGACTTACCAGTATCGCCAATACCAGTATACCATTAATTTGCAGTCGTACCACAGCTGTTTTAGCGAATAAATTTGATGGCGTTGAAAAATACACGTCGAATTTCATGACAAACATGTTTTTGTAAATTGAATTTGTTGTAAATAGGAAAATAATAAAAATGTAGTTCAATAATTACTTGGGTAATACTTAAGTTATCAACATTTTAATGAGATAGATTTGATATTATGTGGAGATGTGTATGATTGAATCTAGAAAAACGCTAACGTTTTCGACCCTAAAAAATCTATTTTTTATTTTAACTTCAATAACCAGAAAGTTGATCAATAGTTCATTAAAAATGCTTACAAATATGAAATTGCTGATCAAAAATAGATAATTTTTCATAAGAAATTTAGATTTCTTGAACTGTAGAACAGGTTTATTGGTTTTAGGATCTTGTTAGAATCACATTGCCTAGCTAGTTTGGTAGAGGAGTTTAAGACCTTTATCTATTATACAAAAATAAAAAATAAAAGGTTTAAAATTTTAGAGGAAATAAAGTATTGGATGAGTTTCATAAGAATAGTTCAACTCATTATTAAAATAGGTTAATATTATAGAAATGAACCACTAAAATTTGGTATACTAGAAAAAAAAGGATTTTAGGATCAGAAAATTTTCCATTTATAACACAGGAACGCTACCCAATTAATGTACAATAATATGATTTATTCCTGTTGTAATAAAATGTATATGTCATACTGTCATAGTATTGATAATTATCTAAAAATYAAAAATCAAAAAAATGTAAATACCAATCATCACTACTACAAAGTAAAACGATAATGTATATGGACCCATTTTATTTGGCAGTTAATAAATAATAAACAAAATATATAAACAAACAATAATGCGCAGTGTTTTATAACTCAATTTTCACAATTTTCTTTTTATCATCAGATACTTCAGTTTCATGTTCAACAGATGGAATCATATCTTTTTTTTTTATATTTTCTTCAGAATATTGCTCTGTTTTATCCAAGACTTGTTTTTGTAATGGAGAATTAATTTTTATATTTTGTATATCGTTAAGCGGCTTTGTGTTGAACATTCCATATTCATCCATGGGGCCATTAATTATTTCACATAGCGATGGTGATTCTATTGTCAAGATGTATTTACATGTTTTTGGCTCTAACAAATAGAGTGCTACTGATTCTTCATTATATCGACCTTTCACGCATTTGTATCTTACCTGAAAAAATTTAGAGATTATGATGTCAGTTGAATAATTAATTAAATTAATTATWTACCTCAGTCTCTCGTTTATCACCAGTTTTTTGACAGACAGATCCTGAAGAGTAAAAATGAGATATAACTTGCTTCTTGCCAAAAGCATCAAACTTAGGTTTTTTCTCTGGATTTTGAGATATCCATTTAATATGTTCTTCTATATTAAATATTCCTAAAACAACAATTTCATCCGGTTTTCCTTTTTCTTTATGCACTTGTTGTATGTATTTATTGTAACATATTTCATATTTCCACCAACCAGAGCCCTATAATAAATATGCATTATTATTGAGACCATTAATTATTTTTTTTTACGAGGTTTTTTGCTTACTCCATACAAACATAAATCTCCATTCACATATTCTTCAATTTCATTGTTTGGTGTTTTGGAGTGCATTAATAAAGAATCTTCTTTTGACAAATTTAATTCTGATTCTTTATTTGGTTGTAATTTAACTTCTATTTTAGTTTCTCCGTTCTAGAAAATTAATATATAAGAAAAAAATATTATTATAATTATTTCTATAAATCAAATTTGAAATGAAAAATAACAAAAAAAAAAAAAATAGAAAAGTAAGATAATTTTAAAAATAAAATTTTAAACCTTATCTATTGAAACAGCAATTATGTAATTTTCCTTTTTATTGAGAGAATCCTTTAAAAATAATAAAATAAAAACTTTCAAAAATAAATAAATAAAATACTCTACAGGTAAGCAAACTGTACTAAACATATACTAAAATAAAATAAAATAAAATAGACTTACAGTAAGCACTTTTATTTTATTTTTAAATTTAGATGTATCAGATTGAAGTACTTTCAAGTTGTGGGGTTTACGCATTGAATCACCAATTGGAAGGCAATCAATATTTAATTCATCACTGTTTGGTGGCCTATTAAAATTTTTAAAAATTAACTTAACGTAATAGTATAGAAACATTAATTGTATAAAAATAATATTAAACACATTATTAATTCATCTTGAATAATGAATACTAACTTGTACCAAGGATGTGTGCATAAAAAAGATGTTAAAATGATTACTTCATATTGGCACGTGGATGTTTCTTTTACTGAAAACACATTATGTTTACTTTGAGGATAACAAACATACAATACATTGGTTTGTCTTGGTCTGCCACTGAGGTCACAAATTGTGCCATCAGACATGCTCATTTCAAAATAAGGTAAGTTTACTCCATCAACTTTTCTTGTCTTGGTAGGTCCTGGATAATTTAAATTTGCTAATCTTTTTAGTTCTTCCTCTGCAAAATAACATCATTCAATGATGTATCTTATCACAATTTGTATGACTAGAGATTGGATATTTTTACAAAAATATCCTATAATACTACATTCTGGTAATACTTCTGATTAATTTGTTTCAAGTATTTACAAAATATTTTGTACATTCTTTACCTAATTTAAGACCATCAAAAATTTTCCATTTTCCCAAAAAGTACTCTTGCTCTTTTTGTGTCTTTCCCTCGCGTTCATTATGATATTGTCGGACATGCCGCCCGTGGCATACCTCATAAACCCAATAAGTATCGACCTGTTAATAAAAAAAATTGCAATACAAATATGTTAATTGGTAGTTATAGAATATATCTCACTCTATAAGAACAAGCTTGTTTTGAGAATAATGGTGATAACAGTTCCAATGGGCTAGGTCCGTTATAAGTTGTTTCAGATTCTTTATTTACTTCATCTTGCTTTGGTAAAAAACACCGATATGACTCACCAATAGCTGTCATCACATTTAACGTATTTTCAT